AGGAGCTTCTTCCAGAACCCATTTTAGACAATCAGTTTCTTTTCTAAGAAAAAACACAGCACCAGTTCCTAGATTGTTAGATAACTTAATTTTTAAAAAGTAGGAAAATTGGGCCTTGATGCAACAATCAAATTCTTGATCACTCAAGGGAAATTCTGTATTTCTTTCTTCCTTTCTCAAGCCTCTTTACTTCAAGCTTTACAAAAGGCCCTGTAAGTAGGGAAGGTGCTACATGCTATGATTCAGAGAATAGCGGATGAGTTACATAATGCCCCCAAGGCTAAATAACTCATTATTTGAAAGTTTCATGAAATTACAATGACAGTGCCTTAGCAGCTTTAGATATAATATTCTTATGGAATAACATGTGCTGATATTGGGTAAGAATGTGCTGCTTATACGCCTGTAGACTTCTCTGGGATCACTGATATTACTAGAAAGAACCAGGAAGCAAAGAAAGAAGTCAGAAAATTAGGTAGTTTGACTAATAACCCTATATCTTATTCTGAAGACTCCTCAGACTGAGAAAGCGATTTATTCTCTTGGCTTAATTTTGTTTTTGTCCCCTCACCCCCAGTTTTATTGAGATGTATTGACATAGAGCACTGCTGGGAGCTGGTCCATCCTTGCTGTTTCAAGGGACCTGGCATATATGGCATACTATTCTTAATATGTTTGCTCACATTCTTGGCACTATGTGTTTTAACCAAGGTCACCTCTCTGAGAAAGGTTGTTTCCCAGGTAGAGATTTTCCCCTGAAGTTAGAGAGGGAATAAAACCCCTTCCTACGAACAATCACGCTTAAGCTACATAATCTTTACTCCCTGGAATGGAGATAAGAAACGCCCTAACCAAAAGTTGGTTGGAGAACCTAGACAGAACCTGGCTGAAGAACCCGGCTACAGAACCCGGCCACAGAACCCGGCGACCGAACCTGGCCGGAGAACCTAAACTGAACCTGGCTGGAGAACCTAGCGAGAGAACATGGCTACAGAACCTGGCTGGAGAACCTGGAGAACCTGGCTGGAGAACCTAGCAAGAGAACATGGACACAGAACTTGGCTGGAGATTGTGGCTAGAGATCCTGGCAAAGCTGTTGATCAACTGAACGCTGTCTCCGTGTCATTCCTTCTTCGCCGACTCCGTCCACACCTTTGGGGACCCCTGGACTTGCTGGGGTTGGACCCCAGCAGAGCACTTTGTAAGTTTAAGATGTACAGCATTATAATTTGACTTTCACATATTGTGAAATGATTACCACAGTAAGTTTAGTTAACATTATCTTACATAGATACAGATATTATTTTTCTTGTAATATGAACTCTACTGCCTTAACAACTTTCAAGTACACTACAAAGCAGTGTTAACTATAGTGTCATGTTGTATATTATATCTCCAATACTTATTTATCTTATACCTGGGATTTTGTACTTTTTGACTACCTTCATCCAATTCCCAACCCAACACCTCTGGACCTCTGGTAACCACAAATGATCAATTTTCTATGAGTTTGTTTTTATTCCACATATGAGGTCATACAGAATTTACCTTGCTTTATCTGACTTATTTCACTTATCATGATGCCCTCGAGGTCTATCTATGATGTTGCAAATGGCAAGATTTCCTCCTTTTTTATGGCTGAATAATATCTATCTATCTATCTATCTATCTATCTATCTATCTATCTATCTATCTATCTATCTCATTACTTCTTTATCCATTCACTCATTGAGGGACACTTAGGTCCAAAGCTAATATGACTACAGGGGGTGCAGCTATCTTTTTGAGATACTGATTTTGTTTCCTTTGGATAAATACCCAGAAATACAATTGCTAATATACAGTATTTCAATTTTTATTTTTTTTGAGGAAACTCCATACTATTTTCCTTAGTGGCTGTGCCAATTTACAATCCTACCAACAGCAGACAAGGATTTACATTTCTCCACTCCTTGCCAGCATTTGTTATCTCTTGTCTTTCTGAAGACAGCCATCCTAACAGGCATGAAGTGAAAGCTCACTGTGGTTTTGATTTGTATTTTCCTTATGATTAGTGATGCTGAGCATCTTTTCATGTACCTGTTGGCCATTCATATGTCTTTTTCTGAAAAATGTCTATTCAGGTCTTTTGCCCATTTTTAATTAGATTATGTGTTTGTTTGTTTTGTTTTGCTATTGCTAAAAAATGCCAACTATCCTCTAAAGTTTCAGAGAGTCATAATCTTTTTTTCTAGTAGGGTCTTGTCTTTTTTTTTTTTTAAATATATTTGATTGATTTTTTACAGAGAGGAAGGGAGAGTTGCCGGGGTCCAACCCCAGCAGGTCCAGGGGTTCCCCAAAGGTGTGGACGGAGTCGGTGAAGAAGGAAAGACATGGAGACAGCATTCAGTTGATCAGCAGCCTTGCCATGATCTCTAGCCACAATCCCCAGCCAAGTTCTGTGTCCATGTTCTCTCGCTAGGTTCTCTAGCCAGGTTCAGTTTAGGTTCTCCAGCCAGGTTCGGTCGCCAGGTTCTGTAGCCGGGTTCTTCAGCCAGGTTCTGTCTAGGTTCTCCAACCAAGTTCTGTAGCCAGGTTCTGTCCAGGAACTTTTGCCATGTTCTCTCCAGCGAAGTTCTTTTGTCTCTAGGTTCTGTGTGGGTTCTGTATTCCAAATAGGGCAGAGCAAATTTTTTTTTTTTTTTAATATATTTTTTATTGATTTCAGAGAGGAAGAGAGAGGGAGCGAGAGATAGAAACATCAATGATGACATTGATCATTGTTCGGCTGCCTCCTGCATATCTCACATTGGGGATTGAGCCCGCAACCTGGGCATGTGCCCCTGACCGGAATCGAACCTGGGACCCTTCAGCCCAAGGGTCCCAGTTAGTGTTACTAACAATCAGGCTGATGCTTTATCCACTGAGCCAAACCAGTTAGGGCGTGAAGGGTCTTGTTTTGATGCTGATGGCTGCTGACTGATCAAGGTGGTGGTTGGTGGAGGTTGGGGTGGCTGTGGCAGTTTCTTAAAATAATACTAAAATTAAGTTTGCCATATTTATTGATTCTTCCTTTCACAAACAATTTCTCAGTAGCATGTTATGCTGTTTGATAGCATTTTACCTACAGAACTTCTTTCAAAATTGGAGTCAATTTTCTTAAACCCTGCCATTGCTTTATCAACTAAGTTTATATAATATTCTAAATCCTTTGTTGATATTTCAACAATCTACAAAGTAGCATATTCCATCAGGAGTATATTCCATCCCAAGAATCCAAGATCAGAAAAACCTGAACCATCATAATGTCCAGCCAAAGTGATTACTAGCCAACAAGCCAGTAAGAGCGCAATGAAATTAAAGACAGTCCTAACAACACAAAGGTCCATGAGAAGTGAAAAAGGGTTCAAAGAAGTCTGTTCTCCATAAGAAATTATTTTTGTTCTAATCACCATAATCACTATCAGTTTATTCATTATCATCTCCTGATCAACAAAAAAATGAAAATCATACAGTAATCATCAGAAAATGTAATTTTAAAATTTAATTTATATCTATTATTTTATTTTAGTGAATATTCAATTATCATTCACCTGGTTCTTAGGTTTTTTAACCTTAGGTTTTAGTATAAGACTATAGGACTTTACATCTCTTATAATTGAAAAGCCTTTCTCATGTCTTTTAAAATGCTGTAGAAACTCGCAAAGTATAGAGATTAAACATGGCTGTTTGCATTTTTTTTTTTTAAATATAACTCTAACATAAATGTCTTGGGCAAATAATTGCAATATGCTTGCCTATCAATTCAATAGTTTCAAGCAAAGATTCCTAAAACAGAAATGGGAAAAAATTTACATTAAAGAAAATAAAACATGAATTTTTACCCCTCTGAAATTTTGTTATTTTTTTAATGTTAAATAATATACACATTCTACTGGAAATATAAATCATCCTATTTACTAAAACCCCTAGTGGTATAAGTATCCAATAGACCCATTTCAGTATGATCCACCTGTACTTCTTCTTTTGATAAAGAAGAGGAATAAGAAAGGATGATATCATTAATATTAAGCGAAAGAAAATAATAGTAAAGTAATTAGCATTTATACAGCACTTTTATCTTAGAATCCCAAAGCATTTAATCCCAACCTTCAACATCACATCATTTCAAGGATGCAGGTTATTTATAGTTCCTTTTTATAAAATAAAAAATAGTTCCTTTTTATAAAATAAAAAAATGAAGCCGAAACCGGTTTGGCTCAGTGGATGGAGCGTCGGCCTGCGGACTGAAGGGTCCGGGTTTGATTTCGGTAAGGGGCATGTACCTTGGTTGCAGGCACATCCCCAGTAGATGTGCAGGAGGCAGCTGATCGATGTTTCTCTCTAATCGATGTTTCTAACTCTCTATCTCTCTCCCTTCCTCTCTGTAAAAAATCAATAAAATATATATATATTTTTAAAAAAGAATAATACACAAAGTTAAATGAATTCCAAGTTAGTGTTACTAGCAATCAAACAAAAAAAAAAAACAAAAAAGAGATTTCTTTATCCATGGTTCATGGCACTATTTTTAAAACATGCTGCCTGTGAAGATCTTTCAGGAATGCACATACATAAAATGATTATGCTGTATCCTTTTAGGAGTCACTTTTTTTTAGTTAGATTCTTTTAGTGAATTTATATTATTATTTTCAGTTAGTCTGTTTATAAGTAACTTTTTTGGCAGTGAGGCAATTAAAGAAGGCTCCCATCTTAGAATCACAGAGGCGCTCATTATCACCCTAACTAGGAGTGTTATCAAAGTTTTGCTGTTAGCTTGCAAAGACAATTAGAATAAAGGAAAAATCCATTACTATATTGACACTAATATTCTTAGAAGGTAAAAGCCCTATTCATATTTTTGATATAAAAGTTACCTATTACCTTCTTCATTCTTTCACTAAAATGACATTTTTAGGTTTCATTCCTGTTGAACCACAAGCTCTGATTCACTAGTCCATCTGAAATAAGGACATACTTACTGGCTCTGAGAATGTTCTCCTTGCTGCTGCACCTGGATTGGACCTGCAAAGAAAGCATATTCTCAGTAATTTAGGGCTTCTAACATAGATAGCCAGATATGTATGTATTCTTATTGGGCAAACTCCTGAGGTCTAGGAGCAAGGGTTCTATATATCTCAGATATCAGAACATGTTAGTAAAAATATGCTACATTTGTTTTATATATTATTATCCTTTCCTTACTTTAAGTAACCGATTTCCAGAAAAAAATGGGAGTACAATATTATAAATGTGACAGAGTTGTAAAACCAAAGGCAATTTTTTATTTATGTGTATATGAAATTAGCATATGGAAAAAAATTCAAGTTACCACATATTCAGTTGCAAATAAAGACCCTTAATCTTAAGGTATTATGTTTATCTATTGACTAGAATAATGCAATTCAAGTATTAAAGTTACAATCAAATATTCTATTATAATGTTTGTTCCATGTTAATAAGGGGAAAATCCTCAGATACAATATTTATGTGTGATTCTAATAACTTTTGTTATTTATTGTATTTATTAATATTGGTTATAAAAGTTGCATCTGTTTGAAATCAATGATTTCGAATACATTTATTTACCAGTTCTTAGGTGAATATATAGTTTATCAATCAGAAACTTTTATGCTTTGATTAAAATATTTTAGTTCAAAGTGGAACATTCTTTTAAATGCTGTAAAACTGTTGAATTCAAGGGCCATGCTGAATGGCACTATCACTTGTTACTTTCAGAGTAAATTGCATTTAAACTCCACACCTCTTCCTCCCATTCCACAGCAGCTTGCCCCAAATGGATATATACACAAAAATTAATTTCTATAGCTTAACACAATCTACTATTTAATGAAACAATTTATGAAAGGAATGTTGCAACTTAGGGTGGATTATGGTTGTCCTTCCCTGAAAAAAACAACTGTTAATGTTTAAAGAAACAACAACATAAAAAAAAAAATCACATACACACAAGAAAAACACACACACACCAAAAAAAGAAAAAAAGAAAAGAAAATAATTCCAGATGTTAAAGTTATTCTCTTTTGGCCCAGATTGTTTAATTAGATTTAAATATACTATAATGAAGAAGCTAATGTAGAAAATAGTATTCTTATATTATTTTACTCCTAAGTTTTATTGGGGAATAATTCTGGACCAAATGGGAAAGAAATCAATGACTACTTAAAGAAAACAATACAGGGAGGAAAACACAAGAGCGAGGAAAAAAAAAAAAAAAGAAGAGATGGTGGTGGTAACTCTAGCAGATAGAAAAGAAAGTACGGGTTTACAGAAGGGGACTATATGTTAATGCTATTTCTTATTGAAAATTCATATCAAGAGGGTAAGAATGACTAATGAACTTGCTGCAAGATAAACAAGCAAGTTGACATACCATGGAATGAAAATAAGTGGAACTATACCACTACAGCCTTAAAGGAGAAAATAAACAAACACTAATAGAAAAATTAATAGACAAGCTTAATAAAGAGATAAACTACATTTTAAAAAGTGATTCAAAGAACATAAGAGAAAGCTAAAGAGTGAGAGAAACATCTGGGAGAGAGAAGAAAAAGAAAGGGGAAAATGTTGAAAGACAAAAACAGAGTTCAAAGAAGTCAAATGGAAGTCAAGAAAGTCTTCAACAAGATGTAGAAACAGAAGGAGCCCAAACCCATAGCGCAAAGCAATGTTTGCGAATGGAAAGCAGCTCCTTTGATCAGTAATAGTTACTCTTAAGTCGTAGCCTCTATTCCTCCAGAGTTCATCTTTAAGCCCTTCCAATCTAGAGTGGAGCTAGTGTATGGATAGAAACAAGAGATTTATAATGAACAGAGCAGTTCAGATGAGTAGTTCATATCTTCTCATCAAATGTTTCAACAGGTTTATATAATGTCTAAATGAAAATGGTGGTGAAGAACTAGCCAGCTTTACCAAAACCAAACAAAACAATAAAACCAAACAAAAAACAAACCCAAACCAAAACAACAATAAAAGAACACCGTGTCCCTTCCATAGATGGCTTAAAAAATTAAAAAGTCCATTCATAGCGTAAATTTAATAAAGAACCCTGACTTGCTTCGTAGCACCTCATTTTAGAATTATTTTTTTCCCAAATGGTTTAGGAGAGAAATTTGGATGATGAAAACAATTCAATTCTGTGAGTCTGAGTTATTTATTTAGGTTCATAAATTGCCAACAGCAGTATTAGCAATGTTTTCTCATTTATATTACATTGGCTATTTGACCCAGATTGAGGGAAATCACTTTTAAAATCAACAATTACATAAACTTTAGTGATTTTGAGTATGTATGTAAAAATATTGAGGAAAATAATTTTAAAAATGTAATAATATTTATGCATGTAGCAGATGCCCCTCTCTCTTGTACCATTAAAGTGGTCATCTTTATCTATTTATTTTTTAAAATCCCAATATAAAGATTTTACTTAACTCACAATGAAATGGAATTTACTTGAAAGAATAAAGTTGAGAAACAACTATTGTTCTTATTCTCACACATATGAACTATAAAGAAGGTAACACAGGTCTGTCTCAAGTTTTATGGCTTATTGTTTTGTTTTATCTTACCTTGGATTTTTACTCAATGTAGAAAAATAAAGTTTGAAAAACAAAATAAAACCAATATTTTGCCCTAATACCAAATTTTTCAGGGATTAAAAATGAAAAATATGGTATTGGATTATCTATTACTTTATTCTATTGGATTAACATCTGACTTTATTGTGTTGACAATGAAGTTCCCTTTCAACTGGAGTCAAAACTACAATAATGGTGTAGAAACAGTATATTAAAGCCAATGGAGGAAGTGAGATGTATAAGAGACTCACTAAAAATATAGATATTCATTTACTAATCAAGACTGCTTTCAGACATCAAATAATTCATTTAATTAATTTCAACATGTGTTTACATGTGTAATATAATTTTGCTGAAGATCACATTGCCCATTAACAAATCTTAAAGCCATGAAACAGAAAACAAAAGGGGGAGAACACGCAATAAATGGTAAGGGAAAAAGTGAAAATGCTTTAAACAAAACTGAGAAAAATTTAACAAACAACCACAATCTTTAGATACAGTTAGAGAAGTGACTTACCTTATGTTTAGGTCATAACAAGAATAGCACAGTGTTTAAAGTCAGCTCTTCATTATGGGAGGTACAATTGAAAGCCATAGGTTATAATAACATGAATTGCTACACAGAAATGAAGACTTTTTCAGCCCAACATGAAAAGCTAACTCTTAAAGGAGAACATTTCAAATTATGTTTAATGCAACATGAAGAACAATTGAGGGTGTAAACATCAAAACACATGAATCTTACACCAATAAGAGAGAGACGGCCCAGTCTCTCTCGAACACAGAAGATTTAATCTGTGATCATAATCTGTGACACATAAGGGAAGGCACATCACTCTAACATTGCATGCATGATGTATAACCATCCACTGACAACGCCCCATCCAAACCCCCTTCCCACTCGTACACACAAGCCCACTAAGATACAGGGAAAGAATGTAGTGCCAAGCTGTTATGAAGAAAGCAGGACACACAGAAGCGCAGCAGTGGTCATGTGACTTGAGAGGTGTTCTTCCCTTAAACCATCCCATCTCCATGCTTATTTTAAAGAAGCCAGGAAAAGGCCCTCTTCAATGCTGCAGTAGCTACGAGCCCCCAGCATGAAGCTAGTGTGTGGAATTTTGATCACCGTTCCCTGCGATGTCAGGGGCTCTCCAGTGGAAGCCAGATGTGTAACACCAGTTAGTGGGGTATAAATGTATGAATAACAAACACCCTTTCCTTTCTGCATTTCACAGAAGTGAGGGAGGAGAGAAACAAATAAATAAAATCCACGTTAAGAATAGGCTAATAACAACATAAAAATGTATAAATATTAAAATGAAGATTACATTTGATTGCAGGTTAACACAACTTAGGTTTCTTAAAAACTTGTCTCTATTTTGCTGCTCACCAGGCTAATTTGTATTTTTCCCTTTAACCAGGTGGAATAAATTAATTAATACAATATGACTCATATTGAAAAATTCTGAGCAGTTGGTCAAATGGGGTTAAGGTCAAGAACAAAAGAAATCATCTTTGTGGGTCATTAAGAAAGCCCTTTCTATATTTAGCATAATTTTACTGGCCAGCAGTCATATTTAAAATTAGAAATTAAGCTTCTGTATATCTGCTCACTCATATAATCTGAAAAATTCTATGGCAATTTTTTGAAACACCTAATTTAAATTGTAATCTTTTTACATTTTAAAAAGCAAAATAACCCCCTACCTATTTAGAAATTGTTGCTAACTTTCCTGTGTACAGTGGGGCCTTGACTTACGAGTGTCCCGACTAACGAGTTTTTCGAGATACGAGCCGTCTCTTGGCCGATTTTTTGCTTTGAGTGCGAGCTAAAATTCTGGTTACGAGCCAGCTTCAGATACCCCACTGCTAGTTGGCATAGCGAACGTCACAGTGAACGCCACAACATCAGCCCAGCATCACATGTCATTGTAATGGTGAAAATTGATTTGACATACGAGTAATTTGAGTTACGAGCTCCGTCACGGAACGAATTAAACTCGTAAGTCAAGGCCCTACTTTATTTTTCTCTACTGTCAATAAAAGATGGGCCAGTAATAGGGTCATATCAGCTCATTAGAAAAAATGCAAATTTGCTTATCTGTAATTGAAGATAGTAGTTAACTTCACCTATTTTATTTTTTGTATGAGATGAGATTTGAGTCATGTGTGGCATGCAATTTAATTAGATTTTTAATTGTTCAAAGATCATTTATTTATATTACCATTTTCTCTCTCCCTCATCCTATTCTTAGCAGGTCAGAATATGTTTACCTTTCTGTTAGCATGTCTTTATTATTTTAGGCTCTGGGTCCTCCTTTAATCTGTTTCCTCTTGGGGAAAATAAAGACTATAGGACTCACGGGAGATAATGCAGGTATCAGTGATTTTAGCTATAAAGGTGGAAACAAATATCAAGAGTTGCTATCAGTGGAGCCACTGATAATTGTGAAATACTGTAATTATACACTCTCTAATTGTAACTTTCTCATCTGCTCAAAATGGAGGCAAATACTTATTTTTAACTCAAAGGAAGAAAAAGTATTTATATACAGTTATGTTTTTCAATAGTAATTGACCAAAACTTTTTGGAAATGTCATAGCCATTTGGCCATATGTACTAGTAGGAATGTAAGTCATATAATCTAAGGCATGGAGCAAAGTCTGAACTAACTCCTCTAGCATAATCCTTGTACGTTTGAACTCTTAGACCTTAGACAGGCTGTTTACTCTCTCTGGAATATCCTGTTGCTTACTTTCTAATCTAAATACTACTTGTCTTCTAAGATCCAGCCTAAATTGCACCAGGTGCAAAAAGTATTCTATAAGTTCTTAATCAGAAACAATTTCTCCTTTCCCTAAACTCTTTTAATAGCTGTATTGAGATAAAATTTACCTACCATAAAATTCACTCATTTTAGGTTTACAGTTTTATGATTTTTAATAAATTTATATGGCTGTACAACTATCACCACAATCTGGTTTTAGGTTTACCTAAACTCATAAAGCCTCTTATCTGAACTTCTATTATAAGAGTTACCACAGTTACTAATATTCCAATTATTGATGCAAGTCCCTGAATATACTGTAGGTTGTGGAGAGAAAGGATTTAACTTTAATTCTTGGTGTATTCTCTTTCTATCATGTGAAACATAGTACTTTATACACAGTAAATATTAGCCATATTTGAATATTTGTATATTTTGTAGTAATTATAGTTTTTCTAATCTCAGCAGATTAAAAATGATTTCTCATCAGTATGACAGTATCCACTCCTGTACTAACTTAAAAATAGTTTTTACTTATTTGGGTCTGCTAATATTAAGAGATATAATATGAAAAGTATGTGAATTATATCTAAAAAATATATGGGTAACCTACAGAATGATCTTAAAAGTTTGGAAAACACATTACTATTATTATTACTTAAGGTTATTGGAGTCCAATAAAAGTAATCCTACACCAAAAGTTTCAGTTTAGGTTAAGAAGATTCCTTATTTTCTAAGAGAACAGGATGTTCTATAGCTCATACAGTCAGGTCAGTAGAATGAGAGATAATAAAGATTTCATTTTAATTTTTCTATCTTGTTAAATTTATTTAAGAATAATCTGTCTACAAAAGCACAAACTTTACTGAATGCCATTTACTCATAAAATAAAACTTAAGAAGATAGAAAAAAAGAACCTCCTTGGCGTTTCCTCTGATTATTTGCCTCTTTAGCCTACCCAAAACCAGAAAGGTTTGATTTAAACAAATTAAGCCAAATGCTACAATCGCAGATTCTTAAATTCTATTTCTTTCTTTTCCAACTTCTTATAACAAAAATGGATAATTGGTCTACAAATACTCTATTCCATAGTTCCATTCATTCATCACTTTATCTATAAATTTGGATACAAGTACTGGGCTCATCTGATCCTAATAACAACTCATTTGTGTTCAGTTAGGTTTATGATATCACAACACAAATGCAACTACAGAACTAAAGTTTTTGGTTTATTTATGACATGAAAGGCAGTATGATAACAGGTATGGTTTCTAATATTGATTTTTTTCCTTTTCCTAGCTGTTTGGCCTTAGACTCAACAATCAACACCTCAAAGTTTTAATTTCCTAATCCATAAAATGGGGGAAAATTAAGTAGGATAATGTATGTGAAGGTGAAACTACTATAGATGAAAAAGAGCAAT